AAGTCTGTGACCTTGAAAGCAACAGCTCATTGCATTGGCCACATTCTATTGGTTAGGAGTAAATTGCAGTCCCCACCCACATAAAGAGGAGTAGGGATTATACAAACTGTGGACACCAGGAGGTGTGGATCACTGTGGGCAAGGAGCCACTAGAGTTTGTCTAGCACTAGCGATAGCGAACCAGGGAAGAAGTAAAACTGGCCTCTGGAGGGCCTCGGGTCCAGCTGTAAGGCAGACAGAAGCCAGGAGCTATTTTCCCTTCTGCACTGCCGCTCTGCTCCCTTCTGCCACCCTCTGCTTCCTCAGACCCGACTTCTCCATCTCTGAACCCACTGGGTGACGGTGACTGCCCCTGCCCCCATGTGGAGTGTGGTCTGTGCTCTGACTGGCTCTAAGGCTCTATTTCTCCCTTCTGGTTTCTCAAAAGGTACCAAGTAGCTCGGCCAAATCAGTAACTGAATGGGTGCCCTGCACTGGGGAACCTCCTTCCCCAATCCTAACTATGGTTGGAAGAAGCAGAGCCATGTGAGCAACATGACTCTAGGGGTCGATCACATTTCTCAGAGGTAGTAGGACATTTGCTGGGCAGCTGTCATGACAGCTCTGCTGTCTTTCCATGGCTTCCAGAGCCAAATAGAAACTCCCAAATCATCCAAGTAGCAGGTCATCTCTAGACTCCCGTAGGTAGCCCCTATGATGGGCAGCTCCTAAACAGAGAGGATCCTTCAGTCCCAAGGGATTGTGTCCAGGAGTCGGGGTCAGGCATCAGACACTGTCCCCCCTCAGTGTCCTTGTGTCCTCCTCCACCCCTCTCCAGGGCCCTTGAGCACGCAGCTTCCCTTCCCCAGAATCCAAACACGAAAACAAAAACTCATCACCTTCGTGCAAATCAGCTGTGCAAATAGATGCCCAGAGAATCATAAATGCCAGCCTGCATCTGATGCACCCGGACCAAGCTGAATTCTTGATAGGCTCAGAAGATCTGGGGCCTCACACAGCTGTCAGCAGGATTAAAGCTGGAACATGTGATTCCCTGGGCCTACTGCCTGGCACAGGGGGCTGCTCAGGAAGTCCACAGTGGCCAGTGGTCTCCAGCGAAGGAACAGGAAGAGGAATAAAAAGAAGGCAGAGGAGGCAGAGGCAGGGAGAAGATGGCCTGGTGATGGTCGTGGTGATGATCCTATTAAAACTCCAAAGACCCAGCTCAATGGTCCCGTCCCTGGTGACTCCAGGGGTGGCCCAAGGAGCAGCAGCAGCAGCAGCAGCCCTGCCAGGATGCTTATTGGAAATGTGGGTCATCAGGCCCCACTCCCACGACTACCTAGATCAGAACCTGCAAGGTGCCTGCTGACTCCTTGAAAGTCCAAGAGTTTAGCTTGCTGGTTCTCAAAATTGGCTGCACATTGGAATCATACAGGCATTAAACAAAACCCAAACAAAATGCATGCTGAGACCCTGGCCCCAGAGACTTGATGTAATGGTACTGGGTATATCCTGGTTGTTGGTATTTTTCAAATCTCCCTGGGGTTTCTAATGTATAGCAGAGGCTGAGAGCCAGTGCTCGGCCTACTACATCAGTTAAGGTTACATTCAGTTATGTGCAACAGTGTCCTTGATTTATAAAAGAAAAAATTCTGAATCTAGGCAGACCAGAGCTGGGCACTGGTTCCAGGAAGGAACCAAGGGCTACCTAATCCCCCCAAAGTATGGGGCCACTGTCCTCATGATCACAAAAAGGCTTCTGTGCCCACAGGTATCTCCTGTTTATTCTAGGCAGGAAGAAAGGGAATGGGAGAAGGGAGAAAGACAAGCACATCTTCAAAGGCACAAATATAAGGGATGATCAAAAGATATGATGTATAAATTAGATAAAAAATACACAGTTAGGAGGCTGAAGCAGAAAGCTCACTGCAAGTTCAAGGCCAATTTGGGTTACACAGTGAATTCAAGGCAAGCCTCAACTTTATAGAGACTCTCTCTCTCTCTCTCTCTCACACACACACACACACACACACACACACAGCAAATCTTATTATAGTAAAAGACGCATTGCCCAGAACCATGGGAAAAGTGTGTTCAAAGAGCGTTTTTGTGGGGGGTTAATGACAATGTGTATTTTCCTATAATACATTCTCCAGTTTGAACATTCATCATAGTTTAAAGTCAACCCTTGTTGACCAAACGTTTACAGCAATTTCTGTCAAAACATGGCGGGCGGTGTATCCTCAAATAACTTATTTACCTGGCACTGTGGGACTTCTGGGGTTTCTCCAAGGTCAAAACGACCATGGAAGGTAAACAACTTTGAAACAAATGAGGACCTCAAGGCAGCCAGGACTGACAGGAGAGAGGACTTCCTGTCTAAAGGCAGGAGCGGGTCCCCTTCCAGAACTGCTACAGAAAGGAGCAAGAAACAGGCGTCAAGTGTATTCAAAGTGAGGGAGGGTATTTTTCATGGGGATTAGCAGCCCTGTGACTTATTGTAATTTTTTTTAAATTCATTGTTGTTTTGAATCATGTCTCTTAGTCAAATCTCCTTCCCTAAGCTTTCTTTAAGCTATTCGTATTTCACTGGACAGAGCAATGTCACATGGCCATTCATAGCTGCAAAAGAAGCTGGCAAGCTGTGCATTTCAAGCTGAACATGGTATCAACAACTGTTGATAAGCAGGCCAGAAATGGGTACTGGTCAAGAATTCGCAGTAAATCTAATCTAATTTCCCTGGAACTTAGCTCCTGGACGCTAGTTGCTGTTTTGAGGGACTTTCTGATCTCCGGCCAACCCATCTTTCAACTTTCCACACCTGTGGGGAGATTTCCCACCCGTTAGGGACTAACACCCCAGCCATGCCTTCCTATTCCATCAGCACGGCTCCCAGTAGCAGCTCTGGATTCTCCACGGGCAGAGCCAGTGCAGGTCCTAAAACACCTTCCCAAAGCCTGGGAATAGGAAGGAGGGAGACATTGGGATGATGATGGCCAGAGTCTTTGGGAGGGGCCTGAAGGCTCCACCAGCTCTGCAAGCCCCGTTGCTGATGGGAAGCAGCAAAAGAAAGGCCCCACCTCCTCCCACGTGGTTCCAGACCTGCAGGTTCTGAGGCGGCTGGGCCCACATGGGCCAGGACCTGGCCAGCAGCCCAGAACTCCCCGCCCCCAGCTCTTTCCCGGGCTGCTTTGCCCTTGCACCCCCAAAGGAAAGGAGCTATCCAGGACTTCATTTACTCTAGCAAATTAGTCTGTCTCCAGACAGCTTGGGACCAAAGCCACATCGTTTGTTGCAGTGTCTGCGTATGGGAGCTGGGCCAGCAGTGTACCTGTGAGCACTGCGGGGTCTCTGGGAGAGGTCACAGAGCTTCCCACCGCAGTGTGCTGCCGCTGCAGACAGCTGCTGCCTCCAGTCCCCCTCACTGTCACCTGCTCTGAGTCATTTCCCCTCCGTGTGACGGCAGACTGTGGGGAAGAGCAGCCTCGAGCAGCCTGGGCCTTCGCCTCCAGGCTCTGGGCTGATCAACATCCGGCCAGGAGAAAGATGCTGCTTAAGACGTCAGCAGGCAGTTGTGCCTTCCACACCCATAGCCTGTCTTTGGGAACAGAGCCCAAGGAGTCCTAGCTCTGCCCATAGGGCCCCTTGACATCAGCAAACTCAGGGCCTCAGTTTCCCAAATAGCCCAATGTAGGTCTAGCTTCCATTCTTTAAGCAGGCCCTTATATAGCACCTAGAATTTGCATAATTAGTATATAAGTCAGAAAATAATGCAGAATTGAACCCTTACCATGCTAACAAGCATCTTCAGTACACCAGACTTCTTGCCAGGTTCTAGCCATACAATTCCCTGTTTTATTTTCACTCTGTGAAAGTACTGCTGTTATTCCCATTTTAAAGATAGAGAAGCTGAGGCTGAGGTAATGAAATGGGATTAAGTTTGATAACCAGTGGTCTGAACCCTAATTAATAATTACCATGGCTTTCACAAGATAGTTTGCACGATCCCTGGAAGCTATGTGTTGATTTCTGTGATGCTCAGAAGTCCAAAGTGGTTCTAAAATGCCACAGCACATAAAATGCCCAGGTTCTCCTGACTTGTTGCTTTATATTCCATTCCCAAGGTCACCTCATTGTCCTTGAGGACTTGTCTTTGAAGTCCTTTCCAAAAGTTGCCTGAGCCTCCTCCTCTTACGTCTCATTGGTCAGAACTTAGTCACATGACCATTGTAGTAGCAAGGGAGGCTGGGAAAGGGTAGTGTTCCTTGTGGATGATCCTACAGCCTGCTAAAAATAGGCACTTTGTTGCAGTAAAGGCGTCTATGGGACTGGAGAGCATAGCCTTCCAGAAAAGGCAGCTACCTGGGTTTAGTCACGTGTCTCATGCTTACCAAAGTGTGACCTTGGGTAATTCTTCAGTGAGCCTCTGCTCTGTCCTAGGCCTTATTCTTGGAGCTAGAGGATGAGGTGGAGGCAGCACTGCCTCTTGTCTCTTTCTGTCTGAGGGCGTGGCCAGGATCTTGGAAGCCAATCTGAGTGGCACAGGCTGTAAAGACCACTGTCCTTGCTTCCCTGAGTAGCGGAGAGAAACATTCAGTCACTTATACAGCTACAGGGACAGGAAGAAGGATTGGAACCCAAGACTTCTGGCTCTGGATCCAGGCTGCCTCCCACTCCTCTGCGCTGTCTGACTCCTGATACTAAGAGTCGTCTGGGCTTCTGAGCTCCAGGATGGAGATTTCCATGGCACATGAGGTTCAGGGGTCAGCTATATACTTAAGTTTCTTCTTGGTAAAATAAAATTAATAACAGATTGATTATGAAGCTGCAGAAGCTTAAAATAGGTGTAGCTTTCAGGACAGAACTGAGCATATGGAATCACTCAATCCAGTGCAGTGATCGTGCCCAGCAGACAGTGCCCGATGGTCACTTGTGCCGTGGGCTCTGGAACTCTCCAAGACCATTTCCTGCCCAGCTCCCAACCTCCTTCAGCATAAGCACTGCCTCCTCTTTGCAGATTTTAATGAGAATGGCTTCATTGATGAGGAGGATCTTCAGAAGATCGTGTTGCGACTGTTGAACAGCGATGATGTGTCTGAGGACCTGCTGATGGACCTCATACAGCATGCACGTACCCAGAGGGTGAAGGGGAGGACCTGGGATCCTGACTTGTCACCCAAAGCCACCCAGATGTCAGTCTGCCTTCTTGGGAGGAGACCCAGGGCCACGCCTAAAACGGATGATACACTGACTTTTGAGCATGGGGTGGGAAGCCCAAGGTATCCCAAGAAACAGACATAGCTGTCAGCAACCACCACTCAACTTTCAGTCTTTTCTCTAAGATCCTTCCATGGGCCCCAGAACACTGTGCTCCTCCCACCCACGGACATCCCCACTCACACGGTGATCAGAGCAGGCAGGTGGGCACTGATTGGATCCATCATGGCGCCCTTCCCCATGTTAATCCAGAGCAATTCAATACCCAGATGGCTTACACTAATAAGAGATGAATCAGTCCCCCAAACCCAAGAGAAATCATGGATCCATGTTCTCAGACCATGAAACCTGCCAGTGCCTATGACTGGACGATGGGGTGATTGGGTGGCCTGTTCTCATTGACAAGCTGGTGCCGGAGGCCCCAGGGGGAATCTTCCCAGGAGTGAGAGTCTGCCTATAAGGTCCCCTTAGATCTGTGGGAGGGATGAGACCCTACCTCAGGGGTGGGAGACAGAAAGCAGGGGACCTGGGATGAGTCTTAAGCACCTGGCAGAGATCCTGGCATACGGCAGCCCTTCAACACGAGGCTTTGACCTCTCTCCCTTTTATCCCAGCTCATCATCTGACCCCAGATTCCCCTGCACTTCCTTCCCCTGGCCAGGTCCTGAGTGAGTCTGATCTGGACAATGACAACATGCTGTCCTTCACAGAGTTCGAACATGCAATGGCCAAATCTCCAGACTTCATGAAGTAAGGCGTTCCGGAGCAGCGAGAGGCTGCCTAATGTGGGGGTGGAGGTAACAAGGACCTCCCAGGCTCTCCATGGCAATGGAGCATCTCAGTCTTCCCAGAGAAGTCCTGGTGTCTATGGCCCTTGGCAGGTTCTTTCAGAATCAGTAAACACTGGAGCTTCTGGGGAATGAAAAGACAGGATTTAAAAATCACATGGGTGGCAAACCTCAGGGGCAGCCCATGGACAGCCCGTACACCTGTGTATCCCTCTCTGCAGCACAGCTGGCCTCGAGGACCAGCCTGGGGTGTTGCCTTTGCCTCTGTTCTGTAGAAGCCTCAGGTTCTGGGGGCTTTGCCAGGATTGTGAGGTTGTCCATGATGGTGCATACTGAAGAACAGAAACTTAATTTTAGCAACCAATTCTCCTTCGGAGACTAGGATTTAGTGATCTTCTTTGCTCCAAACACCCGTGAGATGATTGGCCATTTCCATGTCCCCTGGCCATGTTCACCAGGAAATGCTTGGCCCCTAGAGGCAGCCCAGATCAGGACCAAAGAGCTCAGCAAAAGTGGCCTTCCTTAAGCTGAGGTAGCATCTGTCAACATGTATCTTCCACACCAACCCCTCTTCTGTCCCTTGGTGTCATAGCAAGGAAGAATGCCCACTCAAAATGGCATAAGAAAGCAGCGCCACAAGAACAGAGAGCCATCCCTGCTCCTCTCTGCCAAGTCTCTGCTTCTTGTCTTACTCCTCCACACTTAGCTTTACGCCATCTCTGCTTTGTCAGACACGAGGCCATCCTTGGTTTGATGAACCCCAGTCATTTCCTAAGTAATGTCTCTCGGTTCTGACGCTGAATTCCCAGAGAGACAGAAGCCAGGTGCTCCAGCCAGGCCAGGGATCCATGCCTCTTCCAGCTACGCTGATGGAGGCCAGGGGCTCCGCTCCAGTGTGCCTCCAGACGCCCGTGGCTAGCGCCACGAGGGCAACACATTTGGGGGTCACTCTGATCAAAGATATTTCTTCTTCCTCTACAATAGCCTAGCACAAAACTAATGCTGGAATCCTGCCTGCCTTGAATTTCTCTTCAGATCATTCCCATTTCTTTCCACTGGTGGATGCTGCCGAGCATTCTGAGACTGCATTCTGATTATACTGAAAGAAGCTTAAAAAGGGTCTGGGGTTGGTTGGAGCCATTGCCCAGAGAAAGGAGAAAGGGACACGTGAGGTGGCTATGGTGGGGACCTCGAGGACCACTGTGAGCCCAGTGTTAGGGCGTCCCTTACGACTGCAAGATGCAGGTGCTTCACAGTATTCTTTCTTTCAGCTCCTTTCGGATCCACTTCTGGAGATGTTGAAGAGGCGGCAGCCATGAGGGAGACCACCGGAAGCCCTCTCTCCAGAGATGGGGAGATGATCCGAACTCTGACTGTGTCCGTATCCTCCCCTCTCCCCTACAATAAAAGCACAGTGTTTTCTTTAGCCTGTAGGCCGATTGCTTTTGGAACCCAGGATCAGACACAGGGACTTTGTATGAAGAACTGTTTATTCCAGGCTGTAAGTTTGCCAATTATGTCAAGCAGGCAGGGATGCCCTGTCTTCTTGACCCCTTGTAAGAGGAGGGGACCAGGCCAAGTGGGAAGAAGCTCCCTAGGAAAGGATGCTCTTCCCACCCTCCACCGGGAGCCCTGCCCAGCATCTCCCAGTGCTCAGGGCACAGAGATGGCACATAACAGTCATTCCAGCCGGCGCCGGCTTCCCTGTCCTGCGTCCATGGAGAAGACAGCTGAGTCCGCCTTCACACCCCCAGGCCCTAGGGATGAGACTGTGCATGACCTAGAATCACAGCTTATTTGCTTTGCTGGTCAGCCAAACCCTGGAATGAATCTGGCCACTCCAGGGTAGTTTGGGGTCCAGCTGCTCAGGGGCTCTGGGACACAAGAGAAGCCCCTGGTGGGAGGTCCCAAGAGCAGTCAGATAGGGACCAGGGGTTTAGCTCAGCGACGTAAGTGCCTGCTTGGCAAGTACAAGGTCATGAATTCAGTCCTTGGTACCAAAAAGAAAGAAAAAAAAAAAAAAAACAAGAGCAGTCAGACACCTGACAGCACAAGAGTTTCTTATTTGTGTTGTCCTGGGGGAAGTGGCTAATTGCTGGCTATGGAGGAAGAGCTGCTTCGCCCTCCTGTGCCCTTGGTCTCCTTGCCTTAAGTGTTAAACCACCCTCCAGGAGCAGCACTGTTGCCTGATGGAGTCCCCTTGGAGGGTCCAATCCTGGAGGTGCAGGAGGGTTGGGCAAGGTCTCCGGTGTGGGCACCCTCCTGGCCTGAGGTCCCTGTGCTGGAGGCTGCCTATGGAGAGCTGTCCACCACGTCCTTCCCCCTGAGAGGGAGCCTCTGAGGAGAGGGAAGCGGCAGTCTGGTGAGAACAGATCCTCCAAAGCTATGCAGATGCACAACCTCAGTACCTGCTCCAGAGTGCACACCCCGTGCAGGGGGTGCAGAAGCACAGAACTTCCTTGCAAGCCGCTGGTCTGGGCTGCTCTCTCCCATCTTCTTTAGAAATGGCCTTAGGGGCGGACTCCAAATCTGGGCAGAATGCAGGAAGTAGCCATGACAAATGGCTTCTTGTTCCACAAGTCTTTCAGGGTCCCCAAGGCTGCCCCTCGGTCTCTACCTGGGCCACAAGCAGGTTGTACAGTGAAGAAGCCAAGGCCTGCCTGGATGTCAGAGCCTGACTGTGTTCCTTCATTCTGTGACCCCGGGCAACTGTCTCAATGTCTCTGAACCTCTGTCCCTTCCACAGTGAAGATAAGAACACCCTCCTTGCTGAGTCGGGGCTCCTGTACGAATTCCTCCCCATCTCACCCCAGTGTGATGTTCTGGGTCACTTCACCCTCATTGTCACAAATAGGACAATCTGGTTTCCTTGATTATGTCAGTGGATGCAGGTCAGACATCTCTACCCACGTGACCTGTCACTAAGACTTGGGGTACAGTTTAAGACATGCTATTGAGTGACCTCAGGAGCACTTTCTGGCCCTTGTGAAATGTCCCTGTGACAAAGAGGATGAATGCAGGAGATGTGATGGCCAAAGATTTTATTCCACGCGAGCCATCTGGTCAGGGGCAAAGCTCCCAGGCATCAGCTACCTGGTCTCAAGCTCTGAACTCGAAGTAGCAGTCCCTCCTCTGTCTCTCTTGTGAGGACACCTTCTTCCCTGATGGGAAGGTTTGATAGGTCTTCACGTTCTCAGGGGAAAGTCTTAAAAGATGCCATTTCTCCTTTGGGCTCAGAGCAGGCCTGGAGGTGAAGATGGAACCCATGTCAGACACTGGGCCCAGGAAGAGGGTGAACAGTGCTGTCATAGCCCCACAAACCCACTTTCAGCCCCGTGGCCCTGCTGGATGGTCCTCACTTTAACATCTCAAAGTTGCCCTGGCTTGGGAGAGGAGGGGACATGTATTTGCATAACAGTATGGGGGAGTTAGGAGTAGGGACGGAGGCATCAGACCATCATAGCTTTGACCCCACCTCCTGATGGATGTGTACCCATGTAACTATGGACTCGTGGCATCACTCACCCGAGCTCGGATTTGAAGAGTACTTCAGGTAATGGGATAAAGCACTTTCCATAATACTAGACAAGGAGTAAATACTCATAGACGTTACAGGGATTACAGGGATGGTGGTGATGGCGATATTAGTGGGGAAGAGACTGATGAAGATGCAATGGTGATGGTGGTGATGGTGCTGATGCTGGTGCCAGTGGTGCTGGCCATGATGACGGTGATGATGATGATCAAGACGATGAAGGTGAGTGTGGTAATAATGCTGATGATGATCGTGACAGTGATGGTGAAGATGGTGATGATAGTGATGGTGGTGATGGTGGCAATCACGATGATAATGATGGCGTCTGTGGAGATGGTGGTGATGGTGGGGATAACGATGGTGATTGTGGCAATGGTGATGATGAAGGTAACGATGGTGATCGGGATAGTGGCTAAGATGGTGTTGTGGTGATGATGATGATGACAACGCTGATCATGACGATAGTGATGGTGGTGGTGATGGTGATAACAGTGGTGACGGGGGTGAAGGGGACCACGGTGGTGATGGCAATGGTGATAACGGTGAAGATGATGGTGGAATGGTGGTGATAGTGATCAAACTCCAGAAGGGGGAAGATTTGCTTCAGGCCACATAGCCAATCATTAACCTTATCCTCCACCCAACAATCCTGTGTTGGGATAGACTGTCAACAGGGCAGGATACTGGGCAATTTGGAAAAGGAGGGGCACTGAGGATGCCCTGGCAAGAAGGTTGCTAAGAGACCCGTCCCCAGAAGAGACCCGTCCCCTGGCAGAGGAGATGGTCATCGCAGACCCTAGAGTTGGACACAGGAGACGCAGGTTCCCTTCCACCCCGGCTCCCAACCAGCCAGGTCACCCAAGCCAAGCCTCTAAGGCTGCCACTGACCTTCCTTTGTACTAATTGTGAAATAAACCCATCTGCCTTCCAGAGAGCCACTTCTAGGGGCAGTGAATGTCTTTTAAAAGCACTCAACTGTCTGGGGAACAGCTGCTGCTTTCTCTAGAAAGGCGAGGCAAGTGCAGGGTCAGCAGAGGGCTAGAAAACCAAGGATCTGTTGCTCCTCTCTTCGTGTCCCTCCCTGGGATGGCCTGTCCCAGGCAACAGCAGCTAGGAGGGGAAGTTGGGAGGGATGCCTATTTTTTTATTTTTTTGCTAGACGGCCAATTGGTCTTTCAAGACATTTTCACATCCCTCAGAGAACACTTCCCTAGCCTGGCTCCGACTCTGGGTAGATTCTCTGCTCAATGTAGTGTCCTCTGTGTCCACTAGAGGACAGCAACTGCTGAATTTGGACTAGCGCTGCGTAGTGCTGCTCCTGCAGGGGTAGTCTCAGGTTCAGGCCAGCAAAGATCATGGGTGTGTTCCCAAACTTGGGGTGCATCTGATAGGGAAACACTCTCCCTGCTTCCACCCATTTGAGTGTCCAGCATTCCTCCTGAGGCTACCGGAGCTCTGACCTCCTTGCACCATGGCTGTAACTTTGCCCTGCGGGCACTCGAGGGCGAGTCCATTAACTGGTTTCTGTCTGGGCTCCTGGAAGGAGCAGATGCACTGTGGATGTGTTTGTGGGCACAGATGGGAAGGGAGGGCAGGTACTCACAGGTCGGTGGGGATGGGGTACCGTTCCCTCTCCCTCACAGGCAGCACGAAGTAGGGGACCCGGGGCACCAAGCCGGTCTTGTCTCTGTAGTAATTCCGATGCTGCTGAGCCTTCTGCAGCTCCACCAGGAAACAGAAGACAAAGGTTGGTGCGTAGGAGGACCCTCAGGCACCTATATTGTGTACCTGCTGTGCTGGGCAGGAGTGAGGCAGTCTCTGTGAGACTAAAATGTCCCCAGAAGTCTCATCAGTTTGGAAGACAATTGGATCATGAGGGTGCCATGGTCATCAGTAGCTTAATCCATTAATGAGCTGAGGAGCTGTTAGGAGGTGCGGCTGGTTGGAACTGGTTAAGAGGGTGTGGCCTGAAGGGTGAATGCTTGCCCCAGCCCCTCCCCTCTGTCTGATTCCTGGCCACTCAAGTTTCAACACTGTCCTCTATCATGCCTGTGCACCATGCCACTTCTGACCTGGAGGCAGCCAGCCAGAGACTGAAACCGTGAGCCAAAATAAACCTCTCTCCTTTTAAATTGTGAGTGTTTGGTATTTTCCCAGAGATGGGAAATAAATAAAATATGTCCCTAACATCCCTGGAGGAGTCCCTGGGGTTTCTGAAGTCCCGGCCCAACTGCTGGTCAGCCGGTGTCCTCTCTGAGTCTCAGTTCCTCATCTAACAGGGGTCACTGCACCCCTCCACCCACCTCCACACCAGCTTTGCTACAGATAGTAAAGGAGATGAGGAATCAGCTCCAAGGGGGTGTGAAACCCAAATTGTGCCCACACAAACAGTTGGCTTGACCTGTGTCTGGTCCTCCTCTTTCCCTCTTGGGTGGGATGTGTCCTGCCAAGAGCCAAGGTGGAGGGAGCACCTGTCAGTCAGCCTCTGAGGGCTTCCGCCTCATCCTGCCCCTCGGGAGCTGCCTTTGCATACAAGTTCCCTGTCCTGATGCCCTGACACCAGTCACCGTGTCCCTGGGACCAGGCTGGGGAGGATGTTTGTGAGGGAGGGTACACAGAGAGTTAGAGTCCCAGAAACACAGCAGAGAACAAGTTCTCATCTCCACAGGAGACAAGGGCCAGCTCACTTCTCGTGGCTTTTTCAGATGCTTTATAAGCTTCCATCTTGGTGTCATCTAGGCTGAGACTGGCTCAGAGCACACCCTCAGGGGTCTGGGGACTGGGAGGGTCAGTGGGCACCAGGGTCCAGGTAGTAAATCAGTAGGCTGGACCCATGCAGGGGGTAACGCTGGGCCTCTGTCATGTGTGATTCACCCTGGCTGGATCTCTGGTCTTTTACTCAAGCACCCTCACTTCACCAGTAGCAGAGGTGATGGGGTCCAGAGTCACAAAGCCCCAGGACATGGAGAAGTCAGGCGTGCAGAGTTCCAAGCCTCCCCGCCCAGCCAAATCACCAGGTTCCCTTTGGACTCTGAGAAAGCAAACAGCTGCTCTGGAGGTGCCTGTCCCCAGCTCACCTGGTAGAAGGAGGCCAGCTCGGCGGAGCGGTGGCTGTCCAGGTTGAAGCGAGTGTAGCTGGGCATGTGCAGCCAGCGGTCCCGGAACTGGGAGCGATCCGTTAGCACCAGGTCCGGGTTGGCAGAGAAGATGGTGGGGAAGGAGCTGCCGCTGCTGAGCCCCACGTGTCTCTGCCCCATGGCTGCGCTGCGGTGGTCCTGGAAGTACTTGAGGGTGGTGGTGCCGTAGGGGGAGCCGAAGGAGAAGGCCACCCCAGGCACATGGCCCTGGTACCTGGGCAGAGCAGGGCAGGAGAGGATGCAGAGAATGAAGGGCTCCAGGGCCACTTCCAAGAGAGGAGCCCATGTCCCTCCGGCCTTGCCAGGTTTCCTAAGGTGCCCTGGCCTGCTTGGCTCTTTGGAGAAGGCCAGGTGGAGGGACTTGACTTCCTCCTTGGCACATATCTTCCTGCCTAGGTGGTCATCTTGCAGGCCAGAGGACTGCCTGGGGGCCAGCGCCCAGGGTGTGTCCCATCACCAGGCCTCCACTTACTCAGGTTTGTCTGGTCTGCTGTGTCCAGCTGCACACCAGCCACCCCCATCGGGTGTTCCAGACATGTTCTCATCCCCTCACCTTCCCCAACAGTCTGCTCCCACCTCAGCAGGGTCCCCGCTAGCTGTGCAGCTCAGAAGCTTGGGCATGCATCTGTCTCCTATCCAATCAGCCACCGCATCCCGAGCTGAGCACCCCCTGAGCTGAGCCTCAGCTCCTTTCACCTGGGCTGTGGTCATTTTAGCCTCCAGGTCCTCCTGCCTGAGCTCACAGCCCTGCCCCTACATCCACTCTCTACACTTCCCCCAGCATCAACTTCTGCCAAGTCAAATCCTTCGCAAAGCATTCAAGCTGTCTGTGATCAGACCCTTGCCCGCCTCTCATCCCCCTACAGCCCGTCCTGGGTGCCACGGTGCTTCTCCACCTTCTCCAACTGCCTGCTCCCTCTCGCCCTCTCCCCTCTCCTGGGTTATTGCTCTGTGTCTTCCACCATCGCAATGCCAGTCCTGTTCACTCTCTGCTTCCAAATCCTGCCTGTAGCCTCCCAAATACTAAACAGTCCTTTATGAGTAGTCCAAATGGCCCTTCTTCTGAGGACTGTCACCACTCCCCGGTCTGGGCAGCATCTGCTCTCTTTGAGCTTAAAGTTCCCTCCACCAGCCACATCTCTTCTGTACCGCTTCTGTCTCTGTACGTTTCCTTCAGTTCTCACCAGATGGAAGCTTCTCAGGGGCAGGGCTTACTGGTTCACTCATGTTTGCGTTTACTGGGGCTCAGTGCCAGGTCTGGCAGGCAGTACGTGGGGAGGAAATTGTTTATTAATCAGATGGAGGGATGAGTGGGTGATGTGCCTATCGTGCTGGTGATGCTTACAGTTGGACCTGAGTATGTGAACACCCAAGGGCCAGTGACCGTGCTGCAGGGATCTCCAGCTCATGTCCTAAAATCACTCCTCCAGGGGCTTGATGTCCTCTCTCCCTCTCTCTTTGTAGAGTCCTGACCACACACCAGAACGTTCCTGGGAGCATCCTCCACCCCTACATTCCAGGCACGGGTCCTTGCCAGGGCTTGGAGGTCAGTGCTTCAGTAGCCTGGCAGCTGCCTCAAGCCTCAGTCTTCCCAGCAGTAGGATGGACGGAGGCTAAGGTAGCAGCGTGTGATTCCTTCTTCGCTTTTTCAGAAAAGACATAAGAAAGCCAAACAAAGAAGACTGACACCTTCTGATTGCTTTCTGCTGAGGTCAAAATATCTGGAGCCAGTCTTGGTCCCACACATTGGCTCTTCCTGGGATCTGGCGGCCTGGGGGCTGCTGGGGCCAGAGCAGTGAGAGTAGCAAGGACTTGGCCATGAGACCCACTGTCCTTAGCTCATGACCCTGGGGTCCTCAGAGCCCTTCCCACTGGGCCCCCTAACTCCCCTGCCTATGGCCATGTCTCCCTCTTAGCTGGACGTTTAGGAGCGAGGGTAGCAGAGTCCTTGTGTCCCTCCTGTGAGTCACCTCCAGGAGATGAGTCCCCTGTGTTCCTGGCTTGCCTCCCCTTGGCCCAGGCAGGGCCTGGGCCCACCCTTCCAGCAGCACCAGAGCCCTCGTTCCCCCGTTCAGCTCTCCAGCTCTCGGCCTCTGTCCCTCCCTTCCGGCACCTTTTCCCTGGGGATGGAATCCAGGCGTGTTCTCCCACTGAGCTGCATCCCCAGCCCTTTGAATTTCATTTTGATTCACTAAGCTGTCCAGGCTGGCCTCGAGCTTTTGATCTTCCTGCCCCAGCCTCCTGAGTAGCTGGGATTACAGACATGTGCCGCAACGCCAGCCGGCACCATCTCTGCCATCTTCCATGGTTCTCTCTTGGCTTCCTCCCCTCTGCTTGGAGACACACATCAGCCTTTCCTGAGTGGCAGAACCGTGCAGGAGATCTTTCTGCTGTCTCACATGCTTCTTTTTCCCTTCCTTTATTCTCTAATCCCTTCTGGGTTTATTTCTTCGACGTCTGTTCATTCCTGACCACCCTCAGTCTGATTTCTGACTCACACTTAAACATGGACCTCTACTTTTTAATTAAGGTCACATAAGGTCTTCTGTGTTCTTGGCTTACACCGTCTCTCTGCAGTTAGTTGCACTGATGCAAAAACTTTATAAAAGAAAATATTCTCTGAGAAACAGAAGAAGGATCCTGACAGCCTTCATGCTGTAGATGAAACTTCTTAAAAATATGTATTTGGTGGACTGAGAGGTGAGACAGTGATGGACCTGATAGGAAGATGCCCCTTCCTTCCACCCTGTGGCCTGGTGCCGAGCTTGCTCCTGACCACAGGACGTGGAGGAACATGCAGGTGCTGAGTGAGGGCAGGGGGAAACCGGGCCACCGTCATCTACCCTTCCTTCATCCTTTCTCTTGCAAACAAGGAAACACACATTGCATCTCTAATGTATTAAGAGGACGGACTTCAGCCCTGCCTGTCTCATTCTGGGCTTCAGTGTATCTGGCATCCATTCTGACATCAATCTTTCCTCTCTTATTGCTCCGTGGGTTCAGAATGTAGGGAGTGATAGAAGGTTTGAAGTTCTCAGGTCTGCTAAAGCTTAACAAGAAGATAAAGCAACAGAATGGAACGTGAAGAAATATTTCCATCTTATTCTGCAGGACAGAGAGCATGACCCAGAACCCGGTAGGTACCAAATTTCCAACCAGGCAGAAAGCCAGTCTTTTCTTGACTCAGAAACACACATACTTCCAACCCCTTCTTGAAAGTAATCATCAGTGATAAAACTCTGCCAACCAAGAGCTGATTCAAAAGGAAAAAAGCACAACTCAGTGAGCTGGCACCTCCGTGGGAATGAGGGACGGTGATCTTCAAGTCAACTGAAGAACTGAGCCAGGAATAGCAACCCGGTGAATGCTGCTTGCAGAACAGAATATAAATGTTGTAAAACCTGTCAAGGTAAAAATAACTTGGGCAACTGAAGTTGGGGGAGTGGGTGGAGGAGTGCGGGTGAACTTGCTAAGAATGCCAGCCAGCAGTCAACCCGTGGCATCTAAGCTGAAACTGTCACTAAAACACAGCAGAATGACTCCGCCCTCGAGTGGGTTGTATGAGTCCCCTCTCCTTTTAGAGGAATCTTGTAAGAATTCATATTTTTTAAATTTTTATTTAAAGAAGACTAAACAAAACAGAAAATGGGTAGAAATAATACATACATTCAGAGAAAAAATAAACAGTAAGAAATCACTAATTTATGTTTACATACTGTCCTTTTACAAATAGTTGTTCAAGATACTAAAGTGGAATATATAAAATGGGAATTCAAACAGTGAGACTGCAACCAGTTCTGTTCAACTATCCAACAAAAACTTAGAAATATGGTTATCAATCCTATACACTTAAACATACATGCAGCTATCCATATCTTCAATTATGTTGAGATTGAACAATCCCAAGCAGGCTAATATCACTCTGAACAAAGGATAATACTATTGCTGGGTTTCACATTATGGTACTCCAGGATCAGCACTGGGTACTTTAGTGTCTATTTTTCTTTAGAGTACCTGTTCATCATGTGTCATAACATCAGTTCTTATAAACTATTTATAGATTCTACACATGCATGAGTCTTAACATGTTTTTCTATCCTTTCTATATTAGAGGGAGAAACAAGACAAATCAAAACATATCCCTACGAACACATGAAACGAAAAAGACATATAAAACCATTGTACAAGGAGTTCTACCATAGTTCCTGTGTTGACTCTTGTTATCTTCAATAGAATTGGCTATATCATCCGACATAGTATAATTGAGTATATCAGTACATAACAGTGTTAATAAAAACACAGCTTTGTATATAGTATAAAACTTCAAAAAGAGGCAGTTATCAAACCAGAATGTGTATCATAGAGTCTTGTCATCTTCAGTGTAGTTGCCTACATGCTCTCTGACTTGATACTATCAATCATAACAGTTTTGAATAAAATCTGTTGATACCAAACAGCAATCAAACAAATCAGATTTAACTACGATCAGTCATGATAAAACAGTATAAGTCATACAGGGCTCCAGATTAAGATAATAGGAAATTAAAGATGATTACTGTGCTATATCCTGATGTTTTTGGGATAGCTGCCTGTGCCCTCAAATCTAATGCAAGTAGACAAACTGGGACAGAATAAAATCTATCTAAGCAGAGTGGTGTGAGTAATACGGGTTTTAAATCCTGATACACTATTAACAATATCTTCTGCCATCTTTTTCAAGACTCTCCCTCCCCTTTCACTCCCCCAGGGTGCACTGTGCATTTTTGGGTCTCACCAACACCCTTGGTTTTAAATTGGGGGGTCGCAACGTGCTATTTACTTAAGTGGTTCCGAACCTTCTCTCTCCTGTACTACGTTGAATTCTAAGTTGACTCTCTCAGGGGGCCTCTGTAGCCAGCTGTTACCTATCCGCCATCTTTGCTCCGCCCTCAAGAATTCATCTTGCGATGAACTGCATTTGTCTAAAGTCTGCTTCCATTTTATGTCATTTTCTCTTAAGCTCTATTAAGACTAAATTTTGTGGTTTTCATTTTGAAATAGCAAATTTAGTACGCTAATTTTTTAAATAAAGTTGCTTCCATCTATCTGTATACCCACTCACTCCATCCATACAGGATGCACATACGGACAGATCTGGAGTGCTGGTCACCGAAAGGCAATCTCAGTTTAATTCCAGGTGTTCAGACCCAGGGCAGTCGTTTTCAAAGAGTCTGA